AGCAGATGAGGGAGAGTGAAAGACTCCACCAGAACGAGTACTTAAAGTGGGGGGGGGAAAAACAGGGTACAAACAAAAAGGTTACATTAACAAAGGTTTTCTGGTCTTCTTTACAATTCCAAGTTTTGCAAGCGTCAGGCACCATAAGAGTATTATTCCCAATCAGATATCTACAAATAAATTTCATTCTACATTGTATTAAATAAGACATTCTTGACTGAATCCTATTGTATGAAAGAAACATCTGAAAATACGGAATAACATCAAACACACTGCCATTAAGACAGCTATATGCAAAGGTAATTTTAAAACCCTGTTTTCAAGCCATTCCAAACCCAGGATGCTGTTGTGCTCTGTTCGGACAATACAGCGCTCTGCTGTCACCCGACTGGGAGGCAGACGTACACACAGACACCCATACAGCAGCACATGAGCGGCTTCACGCGCTCACACAGCGCTTCTCTTCAAGACTCTTTTCAAGCATTTATTGAACTCCTCATAACTGCTAGGAGGCAGCAAACTTGGTAACTTGTAAGACTGTATTTTTAAGTTTTAAAATCTGGGTTTTTTCAAAATTGGTATTTGCCTTTTTTAATATTTAATTTAGCTTCACAGAAATTAGTTTCAATTTTTGCCCCCAACCAGTTTCTCAGGAACAAATACATGCATCTCAGACCTTGTATGATATATTTAAAACCAGAGCAAACTTTTACATTCAGGAGATAAACCCCAGAAAAGAAGGGATTTATAATGAAAACATTGACAGGCATTTAACCACAGCCGTACCCGTGTTTTTTTGCTATACAACATAGCGGTCTTACTTTTATTTTCTTTCAGCCCATGTGAACAGACATCTGTAACAGTACATCGTTGGTGAGACACGTTACGGAAAGCTATGGGAAAATCATAACATACATTATGGAAATTCTATCTCTGAACATAGAAACATACAATATGAAACGTTTAGACATATTTGTCACACAAAGTTTGATAGCAACTACTGTACTTTGAACACACAAGGCTAAGGTCTTTCCTAGACTTTTCATTGTTAAAGCCAGGTCTGGCAAACACTACACACACAGATAATTCCACTGACATGAGCAGTTTGAGAGTTCAGAGGGACAAGTGCATACAAATAACTCATGTATGTAACTGTTTGCAAGATCTGCTCCGAAAAAGTAATCCTTTATGTTAACAGAATACTACTAAAACTCCAACTTTGAGACCCAGAAATTTTCTTTTCACTAACCATTTCAATTTTATCAAAAGACAATACACCTACACTTGGAATTAACAAAGATTTATAAAACAAGTTAAAATATACTGTAGATATTTACTTAACAAAGACTTACACCATATGCCCAGAACCGTCTTCATACAGATGTAGTGTAGCTTAATCTAATCCTAGAAAAGTATGATTACCTACAAAGTAGCTATTTTAGTAATTAAACACTTCACAACAATTTAATATTATCTAGGACTTTATTATCTAGGACTTTATTATTGCATACAGAAAAAAAAAAAAAAAAACAAACCAACCACCTAAGTCTATCTCTGTGATTTCTTCATCATTACTTAATTTATTTTACAAGCATAACAATTTTGTTTCATCTACAGGAGAGGAAAAGCCAAATTATCTCATGCAAAAAAATGTGATGTAAGCAGCACAACATTCAAAGTGTTAAAGGATTTTTTTAAGAAATGAGAGCTGATAATAATTAAAAGACACAGCAAAGCAAAATAAACTGTCTTTTTACTTTATAGTTTGGTGGTCTGCTACAGAAAACATATGTACATGGAATCTGTGTGATCATTACTTGTATCAGTTACTTGTTGGTACGGACTAAAGCAGCTGAAGTAGTTTTTACATTAAAGGTTGGGGGGGGGGGTTGTTCTGGTTTGAGTTTGGGGTTTTTTTTGGCTTTTTTTTTTTTTTTTAAGATTTGATTTCTGTGAACTAAACCTGGCAGGTGTTAAGTCCACTCAACATTTCCAAAGAAATGTAGAGCATTCAACTCTAATAAAGGGGGCTCAAGGGGCTCAAGGAGCGACACTTCTACATCACACAAGAGACACAGCGGAGCTGTAATGGTTACTGGCAACGAAGAAACCCTGAACTGATATGAAGGCAGTGTCAGTATGAGCACAGACTGATGTGGTTTTTCCCAGTGCTCAAGCTTTTCTTGAAATACCTGTAAATGTTCATTAAGGTCTCAGGGTGTACTTTATGTATGAATGACTCCTGGATGTGAAGCTTCTCATACAGTTCTAGGTGTGCAAAACAGCATAGGCTTAGTGCCATCTACTGGGAGCAGTCTTGCTCGTACTCTGACTTTACCACTTCAGCCAGAAAAAGTTACAGGCAAACCGTGCATTAGGTTTGCACGCATTGAAACATTTACTCCTAACTTCAGACAAAAAAATAAATTTAAAATACAACTTGAAAGAACAGATCCACACTCCAGGTGCTATTATGCAAGTAGGAAAAGAGGAAGTAAAACCACTTCACTAGCACAACTGATCCAGGGTAACTCACACGTTTCAAAAACAGTGTTTGAAAGAGACAGAAGGTCATCCCTCTTGTAAGATACTTCCTAACATTACTTCATTCAATTTTTTTGGGGGAAAAAATCACTTATTTCTGATACACAAGTGTAACTTAATAGAAAATATAAATATTGCGTTGCATTATTTTGTTACTTACAGGAGGGACAAAGGTACCATTCCAAGCATAGAAATTGAAATAATACTTTCATTCAGGTCCTTATCCTGAAAATATTTAACTGCATAGAGTTTAAAACTTTGTTTGAAAGACCAATTTACAGCTCTGCCAACACTTTGCTCCTTTACGCCAAGCAGGCAAGGGGATCCAGAAGGTTAGAAGGTCTCCTTCCATATGGAATTCGCCACTGAATAAGAGAAAGACAAAACTCTACAAAATTCCAGACTCAGTGGGCACATAGCATGGTGGTATAGTTCCAGGGCTGCAATTCTCACATAACTGGGTGGTGGGAAAAGTACTAACTCAAAGTGTTACATTATAAAAAATCATGAGAATTTGGGGTGTTTTCTGTAGATTGAAAAGTGCACTGCGGCATTTACACAGATGCTGGCTCTAGATCTTGTTCCCATGTTCAATTCAATAAGTGCTATACCATTTACTTGCAAGCCCCTCAGTATACCACACACACAAAAAAAAAAAACAAAAACAAAAACCAAACAAACCAAAGGCAGAGCAAGCCTACACTAATTTATAAACATCTGGGGAATTGAGATTACTCTTAAAATATGTGAGATATGTGATTGTGTACTATCCCACTGTTAGCAGATGAATTTGGGTTTATTATACATAAGTATCTCTATGCATCTATAAAGTCACCAGTCAATGCAATTCAATCTACTAATGTTCGCACAGTTAAGGATCAAAAGGACAGGACTGAACAGTAGTGCTACAACGTTTTTATTCCGAAACGTTTGACAAAATATCTGATGCCATGCTTTGCAAACAGGTACACACCAGGAAAACCTCCCTCGGGCTGTGTATCCTACCTGACCAACTCTGAAGGCTCCTTTTCAGAGCAGGAACAAAACGGCCAGAAGATCAAATGCCCTCATTTCAAGGTGGACACCAGCAACATGAGTGCACATCAAAAAGTGGATAATGAGGGGCTAAGGAAATTTGCTTACCCTGTATTTTTAGGATTTTAAATCTGGCTCAGCAGCAAATATAACAGGAAACCAAGGTCAGGCTGACACAATGTGGGCTATTCTCTCTCTTCCTCAATATGTTTGCAGCTCCTATCTAGGTTAATGGGAGTTTTGTGCACATGTGGGGGGAAACAGAACAAAAATGCTGCAAAAATTGGACTCAGATTTAGTTCAAATGAAGTGTAATCAGCTTTAGAAAAATCCATCAGCTTGAAAACTGATGTCTTATCACTGAAAAAATCTTTAAAGACATCATCTCCATATGCTTGTTAAGTCCCGCTCTGGGGAAAAGTGCTCGTAACATTTTGCACCCTTATGAATCAGTTGACAGTGTAGTACAAACACCCAATCAAACCAGTTCTTTTCTGAAGAAATTTTGAAGCAATTCTATTGCTTCGAATACTGACCAGCCAGGATTGTACCTTTCGTATTTGGGTGTCCAGAAAATTCCTGGTAACGTTCAAAATTAGCTCAGTACAGCTTTTATTTTCTCCCCCATAACCTCATACACTGACATTATTATGCAGACATTACAGATACAGATACTGTTGCTGTTTAAGCAAAACACAATAATACTCAGGTTCAGGATTTTCATGCTATAACCAGTTCATGGAGATGGGATCTAATGTGACCCTTCACAGACCTAATAGCTGGACCTGAACCTTACATGAAAAATGCAGCTGCATCTGGGCACTCAGTTGCATGTTTCCGTTTATTTATTTAGAAAAGTGTCATGTAAGTAAAGAATATGCTGTCAGAGGAATTAAATAATTAAATTTTAAATTGTGTGCACACTTTTTGTACATAATTTTCAGTGTAATGTATTTGATTTATAATAACGTGTAAAAAGGGACACACAGAGTGCAACTATAGTATACTGCTAATGATTTTGGAAAATATTTTAAAGTCCTATGATTTAATAGCAGTCAATACACTGAATTCTTTTATGCATATTTTTAAAAAAATCTAAAGGGCATTTAATAAATGATTTTCAGTTTAATTCCACTGTTTTTTGCCAAGAATGAGGAAAGTTATATTAAATTTAAGAGAAAGTATATTGGATGAGGAAGTCAGACAGCATTTCCAAGCATCCTAAAATCTCGGATATGAAAACACTCACTCAAGCCAGTAACTTTAAAAAAAAAAAAAAAAAAGAAGACAAACTACTTCTGGTTCAAAGGAACATTTAAACAAACCAGAGCAATCCATAGCACATCGTTTCCTGCAGCAGAGACACCCATTTCTAAAAGGGCCTTCATTACGCATGACACAACAAGCAGCACCCATTCAACCTGAGGGAAGCCCACAGGCTCGCAGGGCCACTGGCTGGCTCTTTGTCACCAAATGCAGCAGGTTGAATGCAGACATCACTGTGATATCCTCACCAACAAAACCAGAGGCAAAGAACAGGGGCAAGAGCTGAGTAGGGAAAAAAAAAAAAGAAAAAAAAAAAAAGATGAGAACAAATTAAAACATCAAAAATGTTAAGATACAGTCACAGAAAAAAACACAATTTTATGAGACTGCCACATGGGAGCACAATTCTAAACCCAATTTCTTAATATGTTTAGCCCATTTATGATAATCCCCCCCCCCCCC